ATAAAGACTTAAGCACAGGAATTTGAGGTAATTTCATGAACATGTATCATGGAACTGTTTTTGGGTGTGTTTTTTACAACTAGATGTTCTTTCTCTCTCTCTCTCTCTCTCTCTCTCTCTCTTTGAGTGTGTTTTTTCACTGCCATCAAGCATCTGCAGGTTTGATAGTGTGTGTTTTTGCTGCTCAACCACCAATTAGTTTGTTGTAAATATAAGTACTTAAATCAACAGTAGGAACAAGAATGAACTTATCAAAGCATATACCAAAGCATTGTTGATTAACTGTTTTTGGTGTTTCTTTTTTCAAATAGTAAAAGAGCAAAATAAGGGATCTGAATGGTTCTGCATCAATATATATATATATATGGATACAACTAGCTTTATTTTTGTCTTCTTTAAGCTAGATGCTCATTGATCAATATTCCAATCTACTGAGCATCCTGCCCAATTAGTTTGCTATAAATATAAGTATGTAAACCAACAGTAGGAACAATAATGAACCAGTAGGAACATGTTTAGAACACATACAATTTAGAACAAGAATGAACCAAAATAAACAGTAAGAACTTGTTTAGAACAAGAATGAAACACGAGTGTAAGGTCCGATTTTCCATGTAAATCAAGAACATGTTTTAGAACAAAAATGAACCAAAGATTCCAGAAAATGGATAGAGAATGCACACAACAGGAAGAGAAAGAGAATTCAGAAAGCAAGATTATTAGGAAGAATGTCAATACCTCAGAGAAATTGCTAGGGTTTTGAAGAAGTTGTGGAGAAATCAAAACCTCCAAAGTCCGGCTATATGCAGCGATGAAGTCTTCTTGGGAACCGCCAATTTGTGCAAGGTTTGCAGCAATTGAAGAAAGCATATGGCTGACCTTACTGATTTGGTTTTGGCACAGGAAGATTCATAAAAGAGAAGAAAAATAGAGAAAGGAATCTTGACCTTACTCAAACTGTTTTGGCGGGGAAGGAACTTTCCTGGAAAAGGAAGATAAGAGAAAAAGAAGGTCTAAACATTTGCAACTCAATGCATAAAAAGTTGTATCACATGCATGATGAGTTGTAATTAAGAGTTTTTTTTAAATCTTGCATAAAATGGTTGTAATCTGTGGTTAAAGACTTGTACTTAAGACTTTGTCTTAAATGCTTATTAATGTAGTATAGATATATATTTTTTGATTGAAAATAAAATATATTTTTTTTCTTTAATTGGTTAAAAAAGAAATTTGTTAAAAACTGTTTTCCATGATCAGTCAGTAGTCCTAATGACATGTTTGTTAGCAAATTAAGAGCATCTACAATGAAAGTTCTTGTTGAGGTTCATCTTAGGGTTTTTATAAAAATCTCTATTATAAGATATAGGTTCTTGTTCAGTCACAGATTCTTACTCAAATTCTTGTATACATTCCTTTTCTGTTATTCTATTATTTATTATTTTTGTTATTTCTTAACCATTTTATTTTATTTGCAAATAAATTTATAAACATCTAAATAAAAATTGATAAAAATTAATTATTTTAAAATAATAATTTTAATTTTATTTTATTTTTCGATTCTTCTAAATTTTTATATGTATTAACAAGTTTATTTAATCACCTTATTATATTATCATGTTCAGATTACTTTTTATATGCTATTAAATTTATATTTACAAGTTTAATTTAAAATAATATTAATTAGTTTTTGTATTAATACTTTTAAACTCAAAATAGTAGAAAAAAGAAATTTAATAAATTATATTTAAATTTAATAATCCATAAATGAAATTATATCTTCTTAAAAAATGAAAATGAAGGTTTTTATGGGGTGAAGATATATGCATCCCTCCCTATTGGTAAAATGCACTCTTTCTATCTCTTAGGTCAAAGTCAACTAATAAAAAAATTCATTAATTTTTTTAAAAAAATTATGTTTTATAAACTTATATTTTATAACTTTTCTCAACATTGTTTTCTAATTTTATGTTTTATAATAAATTTTTGCCAACTAACTATTTCTAAATTAATTCAAATAACCATAAAATTATTTTTACCTTTTATGATTGTATTGTTAACGTTTTTAATTAATTAATAATTTATATATGTATTTCTCTAAATAAATATTTAAAGCTACAAAGATAAAAATAATTTAATACAAAAAAGATCATCAAAATAAGTTAATTGATAAATCAACAAATTCAGTAGTACAATTACTAGATAACAGTTGTTCGTACTTATTTATTCGGGTCATGTACGGAGTAGCCCACGCGGTTGCGCAATCATATTTGAAACGAAACCAATGTGACACGATAGAAGACATCGAGTGCCCTTCTGCCAAAGATATTTTGACGTAATGACTACCGTTAACGTACCCAATTGTAAAAACAACATTTACATACCCTTCAAACAAAGATATTTTGAGAATTTTTTTAAAAAATTTTGAGACTATTTAATGTTATTAGTAGGTCTTTTTTGACTTTTTTTAATAGGTGAGGGTGTAAATAATAATTTTTTATAAGAATTTTAGTTATGGAGTTTTTAGGTTTTTATTTTATTGAAGTGATTAAAGAAAATATGACAATTGAGAGTTCCCATCATTATTGATGTTTTACGAGCTGTTTGTTTGGCTTATGGTTACATTAAGAGTCAACCTCTTAATCGGTAAGAGGTCAAGGTTGTTTGGGAAAAAAATGGCTCTGAATGGTTACATTTTCCCCTTTTAACCATTTTGCATCTAAGGGTTCAATAAACCATTCAGACTTCTCTTTTTCCATCTTTGCCCTCTCTCCCAACGTTCCTCACACATCGCTCACAGCCCCTCCCCCACCCTACGATCGCCAGTCTTCAAATCTCTCCCCCCACACATGGTCGCCGGTCTTCAAATCGCTCCCCCCACCCTACGATCGTCGGTCTTCTTCTTCCAGGTCTCACGTCGCCTTTTTCCAGTAGGCCTGTTGTCGCCGCCGCTCGTCGCCACCTCTCGTCGCCGCCTCACGTCGCCGTCTCCGGTCGCCTTCCACAGCCTCCTTACTGCTGCGTCCTCTCCTTATTGCTGGTATGTGTTTTCGATAAGCCTAGGGTTTGGTTTAGGGAATTTAGCATTTTTCTTTGGAAATTGATGGTGTTTATTGCTTATTTCATGTTTGTAACAATGTTAATGATGATTGGATTACCGACATTTTGTAATTTCTTGAGGATTTGATACTGATATGAAGAAACAACATCTTTTCTATATATCCATTTAGAATTGATTGTATTTCTTGAGAGTTAAAATGATAATTTGTTGTCATTCAGAGAACAATTACCAAACAACCTTGTTTCATTCAACACTTAACCATTCTGATCTTCTTAATCATTCTAACCTCTTAACTATTCTGAACTAAATCATTCAGCAACTGTCAAACAAGCCCTTAACGAATTTAATGAAATTTAAAGCCTATTTAGTCTATCATAAATGACCGTTTAATAATATTTTGATGATGTAAAAGATTAATAGCTTGTACGGAAAAAAATGACACAATAATCCATGTTGTGTTTTTATCTTCAAAACCAACCAAACTGCCGCTAAAATTATCTGAGCATATACAGAAAATTCTAATTCAATGGCGTCCACAGTCACCGTCGCCGGTAAACTCACGGTGGTCTCGTTTGGTCTGAATGCCGTTTCTTGCTCCAAAACCTATCTCCACAACTTCTCAATTCCCATCCTCTGCCACAAACTTCGCCCTAATTTTTCGGTATCGACGTACATCTACTTTCACATTTTGTTTCGTTTCCGGGAGCCTGAAGTGAAGAATTTGCACAATGATCATGTCTACTTTTGGGATTACTTCAATTCAATGCTCGTCATGGCAACTGGTGGCATGGATTGGCTAAATCTGATTTTGTTTATCTGTGATTGATATGATAACCTAGTTTCTGCCAAACTTTAAGGGTTTTTATATAGATTCTTACTGGTATTTGGTATATTTGTTGTTTCTGTTGGTTTAGGCTGCAAAATTTATTAGAATGCGTATGTCAAAGATAACTGAATACAGGCATTAAAAAACTTAATAGCAACATTACCTCTGGTTGATTGATAACGATAAGCCCAATCTTGAGTTCCTGAAAGCAGGAGTATCACACAAATTACAACTGTGGATTTGTTTCGACCAATTTCTTGAACTCAACAACCAATACAGCTCCTGTTTGTTTCTAAATCGAACCGATTATATGAATTCTCTTGTCTTTAACAACCCTTTCAAGGCCATTCTATATAGGTTTATCTGCTGCTATTACATGTCATGATAGATTGATTTGATTTGCAGTTGTTTATTTTGTCCTAGTGTCAATTAGAGGGTTGAGGTTGGGATTTTGATTGGTAATGGTTTTGCATTTACATGATCAACTTATACACCACATAAGTAACTTGAAAACACTCAGATCAGTTAATTCTTTGAGAGACTTCAAGCAACTGAAGTTATATGTATGCTGTAGAACCTCTGCCCTTCTGGACTTCTGGTGTCATTTCTTGATCAACAACATGGTGGGAAGCCATGACTTGATTGAAAATTGGTTTCAAATGCGCCCATGATCGTTTTGCCCTCTATTTTAACACATTAATCCATAGCAATTACTTAACTTGCTTCTTTTAAAAGCATGCATGAGGCATCTAAGTATGTAGTTGACCTGAGGGAGAGTTATATACTTACTATATATATTTATGCATACATACAGGTACAACGATAGAAGGTATTATACGGGCGACAAGTATCAGTCAACAAATAAAGTAAGTTGGAAATAAAAACTTGTATAATTTTTACATACTTGATGATATCATTGATTTTGGATGCATCCGTGGGTACATAACTACATGCTATTTTTGTCGGTTTTGGTGTATATATAGACAAATATGTATGTATGTATGCATGTGTATATCTATGTATGCATATGCTATACTGACTACAGACTACTCCTTGCTCCCTAGCTTGTATAAGTAGGCAGATAGTTCCTCTTTAAATCGCCAACAAACCACCAACATGGTGAAGCTACCACAATTCAAAAACGATCCCGTCGTAAAATCATGCACCACCAAGTTAAACAAAAACCATTTTACAGGTATCCCAGTAATTGACCTCTCGCGTCCTCACGACGCTAAGAACCTCATCGTTGATGCCTGCCAAATTTACGGCTTCTTTAAGGTCGTCAATCATGGCGTGCCGCCATTGCTGGTGGCGGAACTAGAAAACGAAGCCCTTGGGTTCTTCAACATGAGCCCGTCCGAGAAAAACAAGTATTGTCCTCCAAATCCTTTAGGGTATGGTAGCAACAAAATTGGACCAAATGGAGACATTGGGGGTCTCGAATATCTTCTCCTCGCTTCCAATAATTTCCCAACGAACTCCAAAATCTTCTCGTAAGATTTATTTTCTTCGTAAAATTGGATCAAAGTGTCTATACTTTCATCACTTGAAAATAATCAATTTGTATATTTATGAAGGTTGCTAGCAAAAAGGTATGTGGAAGAAGTAAGAAAATTGGGGTGTGAAATACTGGAGTTGATGGCAGAGGGACTGAAGATAGAGCCAAGGAGTGTTTTAAGCAGGATGTTAAGCGATGAGAAGGCCGACACTGTCTTCAGGCTCAACCACTATCCACCGGACCTGGACACGGACCCGGAAGGTCGGGGCAGGAATCAAATCGGTTTTGGAGAACATACGGACCCACACCTTATATCAATTGCAAGATCTAACACCACATCAGGGTTCCAAATCTGTCTGGCTGATGGAACATGGGTTGCAGTCCCACCTGATGACTCCTCCTTCTTCGTCAACGTTGATGATTTATTGCAGGTAATTTTGTAGTGATTCTATAAATGGAAAGATTTCTATTTGTGTATTTAAAGAGAATTTAATTTTACTTGATATTTTTATTTTTAACGGCTTTAAATACAAATTCTTTAAAAATATATAAGTTAATATTGTTTACATGTCTCTTGAATCATTTTTTAATTGCAAAGAATAACAACCAAGAAATAAAATTGTTTACATATCTTGTGTCTTCGGTTATTTTTTTTATTACTATTTTGGTTAAACCAAATAACACGTTGATATTATTTTATTTATTTTACTTCTATACGAATTGGTTTGAGTTTATTACCCCTTGGATATTCTAGAATATAGGATCACTCAGGGCACAAAGCTAAAAAGATGGGGGGCATGAGGGAAAGAGGGAGAAAGTTTTAGGGCGAAATTTTAGATTTTTAGTAAGATTTTGATTTCACTGGGGTCTTTTCCCACTCGAAAAGGGGCATGCCCCCAAGGTAGAGAGAGAGAAAGTTTTAGGGTGAAATTTTAGATTTTTCTTAAGATTTTGATTTCATTGGGGGTCTATTCCCACTCGAAAAGGGGGCATGCCCCCAAGGTAAAAAAGGGAGAAAGTTTTAGGGTGAAATTTTAAAATTTTCAGATTTTGATTTTACTTGGGGGTCTTTTCCCACTCGAAAAGGGGCATGCCTCCAATAAATATTTGCTGTATATGAATATTAGAAAAAAGTTGGGTCTTCTTTATCTTTAACCCTTGTTTTAATAGTAGTTTTTTTTTAAATTTATATTCATTATTTGATGAAAAACAATGATTTTGACAAACAAGATTGTTGATTTTGGTGAAGGTGATGACAAATGGAAGGTTTAGAAGTGTAAGGCATAGAGTGGTTGCAGACAGGTTGAAGTCAAGGGTTTCGATGATATACTTCGGAGGTCCACCATTAATGGAGAAGATCTCACCGTTGGATTCACTAATGGAGCCTGGCGAAGAAAGCTTGTACGATGAGTTCACCTGGTTTGAGTATAAATCATGTACATACAAGACTAGGTTGGCTGATGATAGACTCTCTTTCTTTTACAAACCTCTCCATACTTAGATTTCATCTGTTGTTAAAAGTCAACTCATCCAACGCTTTTTGTTTATCAAGAGCTTGAATTTAATAATTACGAGATCAAAGCTTACGCTTACAATTTATGTAATGCATGCGTTCTTTTTGGATTGCTCGCTACGGATGTTGATATATGCATACTTATTTATATCAAAATCAGGTGAAATTATGTTCGAAAATGTAAAAGGTAATGGAACATTAAAAATGTAAAAAGTAATTAAGCAATGATGATAATGTATGTGAAGATGAAATTAGTAAATAAGTGCTCATTTAGATACCATTTACCAAATGCTTACCCATAAAGCACTTACCGGAGTTCACCTGGCTTACCCGTTGAGCATGACAACGATCGAAAAATCTTACTCGGTAAGATGTATAACAAAGACCAAAAATCTCACCTGATAAGTAAAAGAGAAAAATCTTATATGATAAGCACTTATTAGGTAAAATATACTTACCAACATTCCAAGATCACATCGAAAATTGCTCGCGTCTTTGATTTAACATCACATGTGTATCATATATATGTGATGGAATAATACTTTCACATGTGATATAGTAAAATGGTGTTCTCGCGTTCTCGTAAAATAAATGTGTTCTCGTTTGAACCCTTCCCTATATATATATATATATATATATATAGAGAGAGAGAGAGAGAGAGAGAGAGATAATTATTGCACCTTATATTTTACTTAAATGACCAAACACTCTATCTTTTTAGGTAATTTCACATTATCATTAAACTTATTAATTATTAAAAAAACATAGTTTTGGAGCTAGTTTATTAGTAAACAACCAATGTGTGTGAAGAGGAGATTAGTAGATAGGCCAAAATCAACTTGCTCCTCTTAAGATTGGTCAAAAGCATTAGAATAATTATTACCCCAATCTTGGTAGGGAGGTGTTGGTGATATGAAAGTGTCATGATCTTGATTACTTGAAAACAAATTGGGATGCATCTACCATGATTGAGTCAAAGTATTAAAGTTAGAGGTGTCCCAAATTTTTTTTTTGAAGTATATAATATTTATATACGGCAAATGCAACAAATAAACCCACACACCTTCCTCACACACCTTCCTCACACACCTTCCCAGGAGGTTTGAATCCTTGACCTCCTAGGATGCCAAGGGCTATGATACCGCTAGGCTGAAGGCCCTTTGGTCCCAATTATTATCTTTCATGCAACAATGGGATTCGGGATTCGAAAGATAAATGTATGAGAAATAATTTTCATCACAACATTCTCAAAAAACAAATCCATACTGCCCAAACAATTCCTCATTGGATCCATGTTAAAAAAATGATAAACTCAAAGATTTGGTACTTGTACATATATGAAGACACATGACAAACAACAAAGATGGTATAAAAATCAATTTCTCAAGATTCAATCTCTCAATAATTATAGATTACTCCTACCACTGGCAACCCAAAAACTTGATGTGCTAGATATTGTCTCTCTACAACACTAAATGATAGCCCATATAAGAATACATGTGTTGACATTATCGTTTTTCAAACAATAAATTTGTAAGGACAAATATCTTAAGTTGCAAGATCTCAAGGTGAAAGACTAACTTCAGATGATTAATTTGAAGAAATTGTTTTGGATGATTAACTGCTAAAAGTGTTCGACATAATATAAAATAAGCAAGGATATAAAATTCAGATGAGATAAAAACACAATTTCCAACAGACAATTGTTGTACCAGTGCTTCAAAAATGATAGTTACCACCACCTACTTTAAGGATACTCACTCAAGCCTTTACAAAATACACTAAAACTGTTATTCAAGTCTCCATATCTCTATATAAGATGGAGACTTTAGGTGAAGTATAAAATGTTCCCTTAAAATACATGAAACAAACAATCTCTTTGTTTAAAACAACTCTCTCAAGTCTACTTCCATGTCATCTAGGTTGATGTGTTCTAAGTGGCTTATTACGAAGTCCACTACACTTTAACGCTTTACCAAGTGATCAACTTGTCAAGAAGTGTCATGTTTTCTTTATAAACTCAAATGAAATTGTAACACCTGGATTTTAATACGTATATTTTAGGGTTTTAAATGCATCTTTGACTTTAGAATAAAACTTAATCGATACCTTGAAGTGGTTAGGTTTGATGCTAAAAAGATAAGAAAACTCATTTTGGGTAGCTTTTCTTCACGTTCGTGAAAGGTACCCTTCACGATAGTGAAGGTGGGCAGAAAGTTTTATGGCATATTTCTTCATGTCGTGAAAGGGGATTCATGCCCGTGAAGCGACGTAGAAACTGGACCTCCAACCCTTTAAATTCGAAAATTGCTCACATTCTTTTCATTTCTTTCACTAACTCATTCTTCTCCTTCTCATTTTCTGTCTAAGCATATTTAACCCACCAAATAGAAATCTTCTTGAGCATTTTAGAGATTTGGATCTAGAGATTTAAGTTTTGTGTGGTGGAGCTCAAGATCTTCATCTTCACCATCTTTTTTCCATCGTTGTTGACCTTGGTTTTAGGATTTTTCTCCTAGAAACTCATTTGGTCCAATTTTCTCAATGACCATGAAGATTTGCTTGTGGTTTGAAGTTTCTAGAAGCTAAACGTAAAATCTAGCTACCATCTCTTGAATCTAGGTTTGAACAATTTTCATCGACAACTCTCAGTTTCTCTTGGGTTTTCTTTGTTTGTGCTTTCGAAGTAAATGAAGTGTTCTTCAGAGCCTTGTATCTAGGATCTAGAGTCAAACTTGGGAATTTCAAGTCTTCACCAAAGGAAATTCAAGATTTAGGGTAAAACCTAGATTTAGCATAAATCTAGCAAGGTGAGTTCATATTGTTTTGTGAAAACTATGTACATGTCAAAAATGTCCATTTCGAAGTATTATTGTGTTTTATTTGATATTTATCAAATATGTAGGTGATTTGGTGAGTTTTACATATTTGTACATTTGGTTAATAAATCTTGAAATATGCATGTAATTGGGATATTTTGAGTAATTTGATAAATAAATCATAAGTGTTCTCTTGATGATTTATCCCTCTTATGGGATTATTGGTGGTTTATGCACTTTTAGTACTTTGTTTTTATACGTGATTTGAGAAATACAAATGACTGAGTTGTTGGGCATCTCTCTCATTGATTTGATGATAATTCATTTTACCTATCGAATTATTATGTTTCTGTTCATTCAGTTCCAGCGATCATCAATGAGTCTATTCAGTGATCATTGAAACATGTATTGTAATCCTACAGCGATAGTTATACTTCAAGAAGACAAAACTCACACCCAAGAACCTTCAGCAAATGTCGAAGGCTGAAACTGAAGATTAGTAACTAGTATGTTCGTGATATGAAGCAATATTCATAGGCATGGGAATGGGCCCCGACCCGTCGGGGAACCCGGTCCACCCGCCCCAGTCGAGGACGGGGATTCCCCACTAAATTGTTTTTTATTTTATGTTAATATGTAATATTTTGGATGTCAAGTCAAAATACAATTACTCGATAAGTTTTGTATATTACTCGATATTATTTTATATTACTCAACATCTATTGGTACATGTGACTTTAAGTTTTTTGGATTTAATTAAACTTTTTTTTTGTTTTAGGTTATTAGTTCTTATATGATGTTATGGTTTTTTTTTTGTATTAAATTAAATTCATTTTGGTTTTAGGTTTATTGAAAATGTTTGAGATTTAAACATGTATGGTCTCTCACATATTTAATTTAAAATAACTTATATAAACGGAAAAAAAACCGTTTCCCCATTGGGGATCCCCGTTCTCCGTTGGGGATGGGGATGGGGATGTGATTATATTCCCCGACGGGGATGGAGATAAGTAGTTGGGGACGGGGATGTGGATTGAGGTCCCCGCCCCATTCCCATGCCTAGGTATTCAGTGATTACAACCTGGTCAACATATGTGTGAAGAGTACACAAGCCTTAATGAATGCTGAAGAAACCTCCAGCGTTATTCCAGCATTCAACGATCAAATGAAGCTTGCCATGCACGATTGTTTTTGTCTTGTCCTTCCACACAAAGAACAAACTCATATCCTCTTAAGAGTATCGTACTGTACGGAGCCGATTAGTCGACTCTAGTGCCCACTAACTCCATGAAAGGATGTCTGCTCATGAATAGACAAAAGTACTATTCACTGTAGCAAATGACAAGCTTTCCTCTAAAAGCTTGACACGTGTTCTACCTCTTCTGAATTGCATTTAATGCAATGGGTATATAACTGAGTGCTCTCTTCACTCATGCAACGCTGCGATACAAGCAAGTTAGAATTTCTCTCTAATTCTAAGACACATATCCAAGAAGAACACACTTCTGCCTTATCTCTTTCGGCAAATCTCATATATTTGCTATGTGTATATGTGTGTATTTCTAGATTGTTTTAAATAGGTTTTTCTTTACCTTGTTTATTCTGCAAACAGTCTATAAAAATCTGAATTGATCTTTCTTTATCAATATATATTTTTAAAAGTGAAAGTTACTGTGTTTGTATTCATCCCCCCCCCCTTCTACAAACTGATCACCTCTAAACTCTTGTAGATCCGGCTAGGACCAACAGTTTTATAAACTTTGGGTAATTGTATTTTATCGTGTAGCACACCAAGATCACATTTTCATATAAACATATATTTCCATATATCAAGAAATATAATTTACATATTCGATTCCACTATCTTACAAAAGTTATATTACAAAATAGCTAACAACTTTTTTCCACAAGTAAAACTTGTCGCATCATATAGAAGATTATATAAATTTCTCACATCACATGGGTGAGACAAACTCATCTCCTCGCAACACACTGGTGCGTGAACCTCAACTCATCGCTTCGTACGGGTGCGATAAACCCACCTTGTCTCATCACACAGGTGCGATAAGTCAACTTGTCGCATCACACAGGTGCGATAAGTCAACTTGTCGTATCACAAGGATGCGACAAAACTCACTCATCGCATCATATAGGTACGATAAGCACACTTCATTGCATCAATAGGATACGATAACTTTAAGTCATCGCATCACACATATGTGACAACTCC